CTAGTATAGTTTGCAGTCGGGTAATGTGATGCCTCCGGATTTGTTCTTTTTGCTTAGTCTGTCTTTGGCTATGCAGGCTTATTTTGGTTTAATATACATCTTAAGATTCTTTTTACTAGTTCTTTGAAGAATGATGGTAGCATTTTTAGGGGAATCACATTGAATTTGTAGATTGCTTTTGGCAGTATAGTTATTTTTACAATATTGATTCTAACCATCCATGAGCATGGGATGTGTTTCCATTTTTTTATGTAATCTATGATTTCTTTCAGCAGTGTTTTGTAGTTTTCCTTGTAGAGGTCTTTCACATCCATGGTTAGGTATATTCCTAAGTATTTTATTATTTTATTTTATTTTATTTTATTTTATTTTATTTTATTTTATTTTTTCTGTTTTTGCAGCTATTGTGAAAGGGGTTGAGTTCTTGATTTTATTCTCATCTTGGTCACTGTTGGTGTATAGCAGAGCTACTGAGTTATGTACATTAATTTTGTGTCCTGAAACTTTGCTGAATTCATTTACCAGTTCTAGGTGTCTTTAGGGGTTTCTAGGTATATAATCATATCATCAGCAAACAGTGACACTTTGACTTCCTCTTTACTGATTTGGATGCCCTTTCTTCCTTTCTGTTGTCTGATTGTTCTTGCTAGGACGTCCAGTACTATCTTGAATAGAAGTGGTAAAAGTAGACATCCTTATCTTGTTCCAGTTCTTAGGGAAAATGCTTTCAACTCTTCCTTATTCAGTATAATTTTGGCAGTGGGTTTGTTGTAGATGGATTTTATTACTTTAAGCTATGTCCCTTCTATGCTAATTTTGCTGAAGGTTTTAATCATAAAGTGATGCTGTATTTTGTTAAATGCTTTTTCTGCATCTATTGCAATGATCATGTGAGTTTCGTTTTTAATTCTGTGTATGTGGTGTATCACATTTATTAATTTACTTATGTTAAACCATCCTTGCATCCCTGGTATGAAACTGAGGATTTTAAAAATGATTTTATGTAGTGGGGATGAATTTATGGGAGTTCATTCACACTCACTTATTTAATTGCTATTGTGACAAATTCCACAGATTTTCAGATGATTGATTGGTCAATGGTTTGGATGCAGCTGTGAAATAAGTGAAGAAAGTAAGATTAAGCCTTGATTCTTAGCTTTCTTAAAGGTAGACAAAACACTGCAGATGATCTTAAAAGAAATTCTGAGATCAAGGCTCTTCATTATTGTTCTATTCTTTGATGAATAGGGGAGAAATTTAGCAGGAGAAATAACATAGTGATCTCAGCAATACATATTATAATCCTTGCTAATTTTATTTTTCATTTGTCCTCAGAACAAATTGAAGCTTTTGTTTTATTTTTAGAGGTCTAAATGTGTCGCCTATTACCTGCTAACATTTACTGCAGTGTATGACATTCCTTATAGAGTAGTTGTGATATTTTGCTATACCAAATACATGTATCCAGGCAAGACCTGTGCTAAGTGGTGTGTTCAAGTTTGTATCAGTGGTTGCAATTCAAATATGTTCATATTGTAACAAGAATGGCTGTAGCTCATAAAGGCGGGCTCTACAGTTGTTTGGCAACTTATTTAATGATTCTAGCACACAATCATTTTTTAGTTAGTTGGGGATGTGTAACACGTTTTTCTTCAGTTTTGGAGGCTGGGAAATGAGACTGAATTCCTACTTTGGAGTAGTTACTGAAGAATCTTTTGAGTCCTGTCTTCTAGCTCTGTTTCTCTCTCCCTCTCTCTCTCTCCCTCCCTCCCTCCTCGTTCTCCTCCTCCTCCTTCCAAACTTTCCAAATTATTTCTTCAATGTGTTAATATCTGAAGTTGCTATCTCAGGATACTGCAGCTATCCCAGTTACTTGTCTTTCTGAAGAATGAAAATAAATTGACAGACTTTTACCCAAGGGATTTTTGGCTTTCTTTTTTTAAAAAAAGGTAGACTTCATATCTGAATTATTCAAATTAAAAGTATTCTTGCAGAAGGTAGCCTGAATCTATGAATCTAGTGGGTCATAAGTTGTTAGGACAAGCTCCCCTTCTCCTGCCATTAAGTTTTGCTAAGTTTCTGCTTTGTGTCAGTTTCTATGAAAATTTAAGAATTTATTTTCTCTCATTTAGGGACTCTTGATGCTTTGATTCCAAAGGAACGCTGCCTATTCTGGCTAGTGAAACTAATGTCGAGCAAATTTTCCATAAGTTTTAAATCCTACTTTGTATTTGTTCTGTACTCTTAAGACAAAAACAGCAGTTGCAATATTTAGAAAGCTGGAAAAATGGATTAACAGAATGAACATTATTTCTCAAATTGGTTTTTGAAGTCTGTCTTCTTACACTAGAGGTAGCAAGGGCCAAATTACAGTAGTGCATGAAGCCAACCTGTTTCAACAAGCTTCACCTTCCATGTACAAATTTTAAAAGAATGGGTCCTCATGAAAGCATTTCAGATCCAGAGACAAATTTGAAAAAAATTGCTACAACATGTTGACTGATTCCTTGCCAAGTCAGGCACTGAGAACTTTTTGTTGATTGACTTACACAGCAAATTACAGTGGCATGGGGAAACATGTGACTTTGTTATTAAAAAACGAAACTTCACAATACCTTTAAATCCCTCTCTCTCTTAAAATTTTCTTTTCTACTTGTAATCCCTCTCTTCTTCTCCCTCATCTTCTACCCCTCCTGTCTTTTCCTTGTTCTCTTTCTTCTAATCATTCCCTGATATATACTCTGTTGCTCTAATGTGTTCATTTTTACTGTTAATGTTGAAACAATGATATGTTATGGAGAAATAGCTTTCTAAAGATTATATTCAGATATACAAATTCAATGCAAGATAAAAGTTAAAAATGTTTTTAAAATATGCTTGTCAGCAGTGGAAAGAAAGCTGTTTGTAGCCAGCAGGTGAGCTGGAAAGTACTATAGGGTGTGGTAGAGATAGTAATAAATTAACTGGCAAGCCAAAAACTGTAGAAAAAAAAAAAAAAAAGCTATTTCATAGCATAGAAACATGACAGCTATTTAAAAAGGAGTGCCCCAGGGAATTCTTTTAGAGTTTGATTTTTTTAAATATGTTTGACATGAAAAATATTTTAGTACAAATAAAGCAACTGGTATTAAACTTACAGGGAGGGGGGTTGTGGTTTAGAGTTAGTATGAATAATGCATGATATTTAAAGAAAGAACAGCTCTAAAATGTTCCAGGAGGCAGTCCAGTTAGAATGGTGATTTTTTTCCCCTATTTTTGAAGCATCATTAATTCAGCATCATTTTGTGATTTTTTAAAAAACTTTATATCTACCAAAGAAATACTATTTGACTTAGATTAGGATATTCTTTCTTTAGATAATTTAGTTTAAATATCAAGAAGATCAGTAGAATTATTTAAGCATAAAGTGACAGTCGTTTACTATAAAAAATAATTTGGCCTAGTTATGTTTTTTAAAAGGCTCATATAGTACTGCAAACCAAAATCAACCTCATGGAAGGAGAAAAACAAGATCAGATATTTTGAACATTACTCCATAGGAGACCTACACAATATAATGTTAGTGAATGCATTGTAGCAGCACTTCATATGCAATCAGAAGCCAATTGTTACTGGACTGTGTACAAGCACACACTGTGCTCAATGGTCTGATGAGGTATTATGGATATGATGCAAAGAGACTGTGTAGATTAGAAGCTAACAATTTGTTAAAAGTGAAAGCAACATAACATTTACATTGGACCAGCTGAGTAGCACTTCATGTGGCAAGCAGGATGAGTTCCCAAGAACCAGAGGCATCAACAAGGCTTCAGGTATTAGTGTCCATACTGAAAAAAAAAAAAAGTTTGCTTTCCAGTTGACTCCCTTTATTACTGAGATTCTTTCTAGCTGTATATTCATTATTACATTCAGCTTTCATATGGAAAAGTTCATGCAAAACAGCATGATTTTTATAAATGTCAAAAATGTGTGGAGGAACAGTCTATTAAAATATAGCCTAGAGATAGTACATAACACTGACTTTAAATAAGTAGCTGAAGCCAAAGTGATACTCCATTAAATCACTGATATTGTGTAATGTATCCACATGTACTAATTTTTATTTTAGTTATCACTGTCATGATATATTCCTCCTTACCTTCTTTTGGTTCTTCAGGTTGCTGCACACAGCCTGTGTTCTTAGGTCACAGAAGGCACTTCTGTCTCCCTTTTTAGGAGTAATCCGAAGTTAGTAACACACTAAGATGTAGCATTCATCTCTGCTGAACCACATTCAATCTTTACCAGGCATTAGTACAGATATTACATGTAAAATGTGTGGTTATTTAATCAAAGCATCATTGAAACATGTTTCATAAGTACTTAGTATGCATCATTCTGTATTGAGATCCACCAGTTCAGTACCAGAGGTTAATTCAGAAAAACATGGTTTCTACACTTATGGGGATACCAGATGTTTCACAGAATGCTGGAAGATAAGATTAGCTATCCTCTCAGCCCTATCATATTGAAGAGGTTGTATTTTTTTATTTTTAAATTTGTCCAATAAAATAAAGTGTAGAATTACAGTCAATAGCTCAGAACCCTTTTTGGACTCTAATAGTCTGCCTTGCCTACCAAGCCAAAACTTTTTGTTGTTCTAATATAAAAGCCTCAGTGCTTTCCCAGTATACTGAGTGTCAGCCTAGCTTTAAGATATTTTTTTTACTCTTAAAAATGATGTATTACAAGATTTGTAATGGAGTGAACATGCTTGAATTGCACATTTAATTTTTTTAACATCATATTCATGTTTTGCCAGTTTGCCTACCAGCTATCTGTTAACAAAAAGTTCCAAGGCAACACTGCAAGTCTGTGCCCAACTCAGCCTTTTGTTTCTGCAGATGTTTGGGCTTAGAGCAATGTTGTAAAGCTTAGGCAATCCAAGGACCATGTTTGTACTTGTCTGCTGCAATTCCCTGTGCATTGTCTAAACCTGTATGCATTGTTCTTTCCGACAGGTGATAACTACCCTGTACAGTTCATTCCATCAACAATGGCAGCTGCTGCTGCTTCTGGACTCAGCCCTTTACAGCTCCAGGTAAGTGCCAGGAGTAAAAAATGTGGGATATGAGCCAGTACTTTAGTAGAAAACTGCTAACCAGCTGTATGCTAAATAATGGCCTGAATGTTAAATAATTTTTTAAGCATAGCCCAGAAGGATTAACACCTTATGTGCTTACCATAATGCAAATAAAAGAGAAAACTGCCAGTTTCAATATTTTTAAAGGACAAAAAATCACATTATGACTTAATACTATGTATTCTCTATCAGATGAGTTAATAGTTTTACAATGTCAGTGGCTAGTTGTTACTGCATATATGTTAGCTTTTTCCTTGTCAGTTTTTCATCTGTGTCTCCATCTATGTCCAGATTAGCTTTTACATGTAAATATTGAAACAAAAAATGATGTTGGATATTTTTCCTTCTTGTAGCTCATAGAATAAAGGGTTGTTATTCTCAAATTACATGATAATTATTGGGTAAAGTGTAAATTCATTGCTCCTTAATATGTGTATCCTCATCCTTTCTAGGATCAAAAGTCAGGGCATGGTGTCTGATTAATTTTGCATTCGTGTTTCATATTTATAAAGCTAAACTTGGGGAGAAAGTGTTTTGGAAACTGATTGAAAAATCATTTACACCTTATCTTCTTCACAGTAAAATAAGTTTGGAATAGAAATAGGTGGTTATTATACACTTCTACTACTACCATTTGAAAGGGAGGTTGACTTTGATTATGAATGTATATTTGTATTAAAAAAACAAAAAGATGAGATCATTAAAATAAGTCAAACATTCAGTATTTGAATATTTAGAGAATATATGATAATCAACAACTTGAATTAAATATAGTAGAAAGTTTTATTAAATGTAGTTTTTATTCTTAAAATATACTGTAGCTATTTTTGAGTTTTCTTAAATAATCTACAAAATAGCATCTGGTGAAGTATTTTTATTTCTGTGTTGCTATTCTATATGTGACTTGAACATAAAAAGTGTACAGCTATTGTATCATGAAAAAACATCATTTTGAATGTTTCCAATTGGATCTTCAAATAAAGAATTTTTGCAGTTGAGAAATTTTGTCATGAGTCATGATCCAGGAATCCATAAAGATGTAACCCATTATAGGTTGCCTAACAGAGCCAGAAATTTTGCCTAAGAGAAGCGGCAACCTCACCTCTCTTGCAAACTTCCACCTTCCACACCACTAACTCTGAAACCTCTGTAGTTGGTGCAAGTCTAAAAAGAACCCTCACTATTATAAACCTAATATATTTCTCCTTTTCCTATAGCTATGCTATTGAGTATCTTCTTGAGTCAGAGGCAGAAACAAGAAATCAGTGTCACTGTTTGATACTATAACCAAGTTTCTGTAAAAGAAAGAAACTGAGTCTTAAACTTTCTACTTTCTATTTTTTGATGTGCTCAGTACCCTGGATTTAGAAATATGATTCTGTTTCATGAGTTCTGACAGTATGTTTTGTCTTTTTTTTTTCTGAATATGCTACTAAACAGAAGGGTCATGTCTCTCACCCACAAATTAATCCAAGGCTAAAGGGCCTAAGTGACCGTTTTGGCAGGAATTTGGATACCTTTGAACATGGTGGTGGCCACTCTTACAACCACAAACAGATTGAGGTATGAATGCTTCCATTGATGCTTCATTGGGTGGGGGACTGCATTGTTCAGTCATACTCTAGGTTTTTTTTTAAAAAGTGGCACTTAGCCTAAACACTAAACCTAATCTTTTCTTTTTTCTCATTCTTAAGGAGGCTCTTGTTTTGCTCCTTTTCTTTCAGAGAAAAAAGCAAATCCCAAAGCAATGTCCCTGAATTAAGGTTATTCTTTGCCATATATATTCAGGCAAAAGCTTTACATTATAAGTGTCTTCAAAACCACCTTTCTTCCCTCACTCTTTTACTTTTTCTCGTGTATACTGTCATATGGTATTTTTTTAAAAAACTTAAACATTAAAAAAATTATTTGACCATAGAATAACCCTGTAAATTTAATCAAATGTAATTCTGCTTTTATAGATAAAGCAGCTGAGGTTCAGAGAGATTAAGTTATTTAGCCAAGGATATGAAATGTTGGTCGAATCAAGGTTATTGCCCAGGATTTCTAATTCTACATACCCAGTTTTCTCAGAATGAAATAGGGATGGGTGCCTGGGCCTGGATGGTTGCTTTTTCCCAGATAAACTTCTGTAGTATTCTTTTCATATTTCGCCTTCTAGTAGAGTCCTTTGTTGTGTTTTTGGGATATTCTTAACACTAGAGAGAAGATGGCTTATGAAAACCAAGACCTTTTCTTCTATAAAAACCAAGTCCTCCTCTCTCCAATTTCATGCTTGATTCCTTTTCTGCATCATTGGGGTCCCTCACTGGAACTATCATATGGGAGAATTTCCAGCTATCTGTTGAATTTTTAAAAAGTGGATACAGGTTACCTCAGACTGAAACACACTTTAATTTGGGGGGTTAGATATAATGCCAAATTTTATATTGTAACCTAGGATGGAAAACTCAACCCAAAAATGAAAATAATTGCATCTAGTAAGATGAAGATGAACATTCAGCTTCTGTTGGCTATGCTGGTCTGTATAGCTCAAACACTATGTAGTCAATAAAAGGTCCCTTTTACATTACCTTTTCTGCTGCTTGTGAATCTACCTTTTTGGAAAATAATAGGAAATGATCACTCCTAAGAAGAAGGAAGAGACAAGACCAAAGACCCCCTTCGAAGTAGCCTAAGGTAAAGTTCCAGAGCTTGTTAACTGCCTCCTTCTTTCCTTTTGCTTTGACGTAAGAGGTAGACAGGGGGTTTCCACTCAGATATGATTAGACACATATTGTAAGAGCATCTCCTGTCTTCTATACAGACAGAAGAAATTTCTTTTCTAAGCCCTTCTTTTGGCTGTAGAGAGAGTACCACATTTCTGGACGTTCTGAAAACCTACTATGCCCAGGAGAGCTGAAAAGAGATGACTGGACATTAGGAACAAGTTTTTATGTGTGATGACAATTAGCAAGCTTATCCACTCAAGACAGTCAGCTTGAGAAGCTTTTAAATGCCTGGAAGAATGTGAAATCAGGTAGCCTTGACTCAAACTCAAGAACATCTTCTCCTGTTGGACTTCTATTTTCTGTTGAGGTGTTATGTTCTATCCCATCAATCTTCCCTTAGCCAGGTTTCTACTCAGTCTCTTCTTTTGCCTAATTTTTCACTTAGGTTGGCTTCTCTCCCACCTCGCAATCCCTAGTCCCACACCATCACGGATCCCTGATGTGTCAAATCTGGCTTCTGTGGGGGTTTTGGAAACCGTGATGTCATACATAGGAGTGTCAGAGCTGTGTAGTGCCATAGCGATGCTGATCTAGAAGCATAGCATATGTCACATGTCTGTCATTTCAATTAGGCTAAACGGGGAAACCAATAATGCAAGAGCCTTCACAGCTTTGCATTTTAAGCTTGGCTGGTTTTGTATCCTCAGTTTTTGCTTATTCTTGCTCTGTTCCATTGCCTCCTGTTTTTGCACCTTTTTCCTGCATCTCAGGAAACCTTTGATCTGTTTGCTCATGTGGACACTGGGTAGAAAAGACTGACCTTGTTTGAAAGGTGGGTTCCCCAAACTTTCCTGGTATGAGCGTAGCATGCTTATTGGGACATCAATGAATAGTATAGTAGACACCATGTCTAAGCTGCTAGAGAGTAACATTTTAAATCTTGAGCAAGTGTAGAGGGAAATTTTAATAATATCTTGCTTTATTGCTATTAGAATCTGCTTTCTTTTCTAGCTAGGGTTTTCTCCCCTCCATTGACAAGCTAAAATGTCACAGTTCTGTCAACAAACATGATCCTGATAAACTATTGCTACTAAGAAAGCATTACAATTATATTAACTGTTTTTATTTCTAAACAGAGATTCTTAAGAGGAAAAGTTTATAGCACATATACTTCCCCACCCCACCTCACCCCATGCATTACTCAGAACTGGTCCTCTACCTCATGTTACAATTAATTTGTCCTTCAAAGGTTGTCATTTCTAAAATTAATGAGCCTGAGTAAATATTAACAACATTTGGTATATATTAAGTATGCTCTGAAATTTTGTTATCAGGTAGAGAAAAACTATTTAAAATGGAAAGACTCCCCTTATATTAGCATAGGCTATTACTTTCTTTCTTTAAAATAAGGAAAATTCCATAAAGACCATTTTTTAAAATACTACTGTGGTGATCTAAGGCTTGGTTTTCTCTGCCTCAGGGGCACAATATTAGGAGAAAGAAGGCCAAAGAGTGCTATTTTTAGTTGAACAGTTTAGCAGATGCAGGCATGAATACTCATATATCTGAAGGTTGAGGGGTTTGAACCATTAATTTTGATAATGTATTTAACCCTGGGAACAATCAGAGACTGTAACTCTAAGGTTACAATGCTTTTGACCTTTAGAGAACAGAGGGCATTTGCTACAGTAAACAATATATTATATTGCTGCTTATTTCAATTCTCTCACCCGTATAAATTTCAGGACCAGTTGCCATTTGCTTTCTTCAGCTATGTTAACATTGGTCCTTAAGTAAGTCAAAAAGAATGTTAAGGAAAGGGAACCAGTATAATGAGGCATTCATGTAAATTTAGCCTTTAAATAGCGATGATGTTAGATTGTTTCTGAAGAAATATTGTCTCAGGAACTAAGCTCTGGATGACTTTTTTTTAATGAAAAAGGGGCTTCAGTGTATTTATTAATTTTATATGGTTACTTTCAATATGATAGATCCTTAATATTGTTTTGTTTTGTTTTTAATGGGGAGTAGTGTTGCCTCATAGTTGTAGCTTATATTAAACAAAATCTGGTACCCTATGCAAAGTGATACACCTGTCTCATGCCTTCTTATTAAATGATGCATACTTCTCTTTAGCAAATACAGCAGTTAAATATCACACAGCTTAGGAATTTCTAATTAAAATATCTCCATGTGTCAGCATATTGGTAATGTATTATTTTAATCCATTTATTTTGTTTATGAAACAGTGACATATGTTTAGATTGTGAAATATATGAGCCTTAAAAATCACTTTATTGAAGAAAATTAATTCCTACAATACTGTCTCAGTAATGTGTTCACTCACCCAGTCAGTCACTGGCGGCACTGCCAGTCTTAATGTTGGGTAGACACGCTTACCAGTTACATCCACATAACAGTCTTGGAAAGAAGCATATCAGCTCTTTTTCTTAGCATCAAATAATAGAGTTATTCTTTTCTTACTATTTTCTCTTACTTATTAAGTTCAAACCTATCCCCCCAAAACACTTTTGTTGCCTTTTTTTTTTAAATACAATGAAGGTTGGGCCTGAATATATATGTAAGGGATTCTGAAAGACCAATCAAAATTAAAACAAGCTAGTTACCTTTTCAAAGTTAGACATAGTAATTTGTTTGTCAGCAGGAAGTTGTTTGGGTCAGCCCTGAGATAAAGTGACTGTCAGCAGTTATTCCTCCAAGACAAGTAATTTCACTCAATGTATTACTGACAGATTGCTCACTTCTCTGAATCACCAGGGAAAACAAACTTAATATTGTTACAGGCAGAGTTTCTGTCTTCATTAGCTTCAGAGAATGATTTTTATCTAGCATTCAAAGTTCACCAAGCTTTAGTTGGAACATATTTTTACAGACTCGTTCTTATAATGATAGTATGGATAGTAGCCTAAATGAAAGAATTGTATATGAAAATTCAAAAATATCAGTATAAATACATTTCCACTGTTATTAGATGTGTATTATGTGTAGTTTAGGGGAGATTTAAGGAAAGGAATATAATTAGAGTCTTAAAGCACTAAAAAAACCTATCAACCATAAGGTATTCTTAAATGAAACTATTGAAGTCTTGCTAAGTTTACAAAGATGGAGGTGAACAGTTGAAGTTTTTGCAAAATTGAACACAAGCACATATTTTATTTAAATGGTATTGTCAATTTTCGTGCTACAAATGGAAAGTAAAGAAGTGCCCATCAGCATTGAGAATATTGTATTTCTATTTCAGTCGTTGCCTGAGTCTTTATGATGTTATATTTAGAGGCTCTGCACTGTCTGTTGTACCTTGTCTTCTTATTTGCAATTGTAAACATGCCTCAGTGCTGTGGGGGAATGGGAGGGTGATTGAGTTAGCTTTGCTGGGTGGGCTTGGTGAGTTGCGATTTCTAATAGAGACGAAGGTTGAATAAAGAGTTGATTAGAGTGACCTATTACTGGCTACCCAATGGAGAAAGAGGAATTGACTGATTCAAAGCTTGTTTTGAGGATGCCAGCCACGGGGCTCTGCTTTGAAGAGAATGCATGCTTTTCTCTTAATCAGCCTTCACTTACCCTCTGACTCTTTTCTTGACTTTTAAGAGTGTGGTGGAATTTGGGAGGACCATTACAGCTAGGCTTAGTTGAGCTGTAGGCTAATGGAATGAACTCCATTTATGGAAATAGAACTTTAGATTAGCATTTCCACTACAACTTACTTGCCTGTTGTCTTGCGCTGTTTTCAAAATACTTTTTTTTCAGTTTTTTTCGTTGTAAAAAGAACATAATATACATTCTCAGGTTTTGTTTTTTTTTTTTTTTTTTTTTTTTTTTTTTTTTTTT